CCTTTCCTCATTCTCTGCTCAACCAATCAATTACAGACACATATTTTCCTCATTCGGTTGTGTAAACCTTTCTCTGCCCTCATCAATAACTTAATGGTCCTTTTGGTAAAAAAAACAAAAACAAAAACAAAAAAACAGTACTAGCATAAAACAAAGTTCTCCAGGATAGAAACATTTTCATAATTTGTATCAACCTAACCTAAAATTTATCAGCCTGAATTTTGTTTCTTCAAGGCTCGACGAATATACTGTTGCATAGTACTTTACGAAGGCTCCACCCCAGCGCTTACATTGTAGCTCCACCTAGCCGTCTTAGGCATTTAGCAGAATCCTTTCTCATTCTTCCCCTCACGAATGTTTGCCAGTGTCGTCTGATAACTGAAGAGAAAATGCTAGAACGAATCATTGCACCTCACTACCAAACGTGACGAATTATTATATTGAATTAAACTGAGCCGTCTTCCCACTTGCCCGTTTGGGACTTCCTGTTTTAATGCTGAAGAAGAATGACAACATATCCTACAGTCAGCAAAGCCATTCATCTGCATCAGTCGATTTGTGTCGATTCTTAGCATTTAGACGCACTACCCATTTTTGCTTTAGGAGTACTGCGTTTTTTCTTACCAGTCTTCCGAATCTGTCCTTAAAAGACAAACCTCTGAATATTTTATACATATATGGATGGCTGCGTGTCCTCACAAAGTCAGCCCGTCACTTCCACTGGAAAAAGCGAACTGTGAGAATGGCCGAACTGCGGAAACGTAAGAAGGCCAGCGTCTGAGGCGCGCCGAGGGCCGGGAGGGCGGCGGCTGCCCGCGGAGCGGCTCCCGCCCCCACCGCTGCTGCGTCTCTGCTTCCCGGCTCTCACTTTGCTCTTTCTTCCCTTCCTTCTGTCAGTGCCAGTAAAACGCTAGGGCAAGGAAGTTTCTCGCTGGGTGCCATGCCCGTTAGCAGCCACTGTCTCACTGGGTCTTCCCAACAACCCTGGGAGGAGGGGCTGTAAACTATGCCAACTTTACAGATGAGCAAACTGAGGCTCACGTGTTTTAAAGTACTCTCCTGTTATCACTGACCTGGGTTCATAATCAGTTCTGTAGGCGCCTTGGGGAATAAGAATGGTAAACTGAGATTCAGCCTGCATCTCAGACCTGTGTGATTCAAAATCCTGAAGCTGGCCGGGGGCGGTGGCTCCGCCTGTAATCCTAGCTCTCTGGGAGGCCGAGGCAGGTGGATTGCTCGAGGTCGGGAGTTCAAAACCAGCCTGAGCAAGAGCGAGACCCAAGAGATGGAGAAAAAATGCTAGACGAATCATTGCACCTCACTACACACGTGACGAATTATTATGAATTAAACTGAGCCGTCTTCCCACTTGCCCGTTTGGGACTCTCTGTTTTAATGCTGAAGAAGAATGACAACATATCCTACAGTCAGCAAAGCCATTCATCTGCATCAGTCGATTTGTGTCGATTCTTAGCATTGAGACGCACTACCCATTTTTGCTTTAGGAAGTACTGCGTTTTTTCTTACCAGTCTTCCGAATCTGTCCTTAAAAGACAAACCTCTGAATATTTTATACATATATGGATGCTGCGTGTCCTCACAAAGTCAGCCTGTCACTTCCACTGGAAAAAGCGAACTGTGAGAATGGCCGAACTGCGGAAACGTAAGAAGGCCAGCGTCTGAGGCGCGCCGAGGCCGGGAGGGCGGCGGCTGCCCGCGAGCGCTCCGCCTCAGGCCCGGCGCGGCCTGCGCGCGCCCGCCCGCGGCGTCCGGCCGCCCGCCGCTGCGCCGCCTGGCCGGGCCTCCCGGCCGCGGGCGCCCTGCAGGCCGCGGCGGGGAGAGC